AAAAAAAAAAAAAAAAAAAAAAAAAAAAAAAAAAAAAAAAAAAAAAAAAAAAAAAAAAAAAAAAAAAAAAAAAAAAAAAAAAAAAAAAAAAAAAACATGTTCATCTCCAATCTCCATGGCTATGGAAGAAGGTCAACAGAGAGAGAGAGAGAGAGAAAGTCAAGCTTGAATGACTTTTCGATGTGGGAGCCTAACCCTAAAAACATGTTCTTCTCCAGTGCATTTATCCACCTTCACAACCCACTGCCTCCTCCTCCCTTCGCCGGAGGATTTTGATATCTCCGCCGCCACTTTCATCACCATCACCCCTTTTCCAATCGGCAAAAGCTGCGTTCTCCATCCGCCGGACCACCCTCCACATCTTTTCCTCATCGCGTTAAACCCCACCACCACGGTGGCGCCTTGGAACTTCCTTCTCGATCCAATGCCCTCGATGACAGCCACGTGGCTGTCCAGGTTGCAGTCAATCAGAACAAAATCCGCTTCTCTGTAATGGGCTTCGAGAAGCTTCTCAGCTTCTCCGACCACGAACTCGATCGGGTAATGGGGTTCGAGCCCCAGAATTGCTCGTGATGGATGAAGGTCTTCCTGGCGTGGAATTATGCAGACCACTCGGCCGCCGGTCAGACCGCCCGCAGCGGCCAGGGCTAGAATCTTGTGGTCTGCGGATCTTTCGTATGCCACTACCATTAGCTGCGCATTGTTTCCAGCAGCCATGGCCGATATGAACTCCGCGACGTCGGGTTCATCAGCTTTTTGGCGCTGAAACATATAGAGATTGTTAAATAACTACTAAATTCAAAAACTCGTTCGTAATTTCGTTTGTTCTTACCAATTTGAGGGTGTTGAGGAAGGCTTCAGTGGCATTCTCAGCAGACCAGCTACCCATCGATTTATTTTGTGGAAATATTCTGTTTTGAGGAGTTGCATGAAGGTTCGTTTATATAGACCTGAATTATTACCAAACATGTTCTTTAAAAATATTTAATACTATTTTAATTAAAAATAGAGAATTTGATTGATTTAGCAAATATTCTTACCATCGGTAATCTTTACCCTCAAAATTACTTCTAAGTTAATGTTTGTCTTTTAGGGACAAAATCAGTCCCACCCCATGTTAGCTGAGGCAGCAAGGAAACACAAATTGTCATTACGTAAAACCCTTCGCGGATAAAAGTATTTTACGGTAAAATAATGGAAAGCTTTGTCCTAATGTTTATGGATTTGATGTCCTCTTTTTGAACAAGTTGTCACGACAATAGTATAGTATAGTATAAATTTGGGCATGATTTCGATAATTGAATAGTGTTAGTATGATGATTGACACAGTTGATTTCTTCATAATGATAAACACTTCGGAGTGGTATCTCTTTAAGTTTTGTGGGCATTGAAGGAAGAAGGGATGCCCCATGTTTGATATTATGGGCAGTGGGTGGTTGGAAGATGGTGCATATGCAGCAGCCATGAAGGAATGGATAAGTTTTGTTGGGATTCCTTGAATTTGAGTAAGAAAATGAGAGTGGAAAGTGATGGGAAATGGGTGATGAACATGAACATCAACAAGAACAAGAACAAGGTGTGGGTCTGTCCGGATGTTTCTGTTTTTGGATAATAATTTCTGTCTCTTCACAAAGACATGCCTCTATCTAATTGTAGCACTACGCATTTGGAATTCAATGCAACTTTCCTTCTTATCCCCAAACAGATAGGTTTGTTGTTCCATTAATTCACTACTCAGATAATGAGATTAAACTTTCACAACACTTTTTTCTATTTATTTGATTGAATTTATCGTTGAAAATTCTCATGCCAAATTATAAAAAATCACAACAAGAAAATTATGATTCAGATTATCTGTTGGTTGAATATCTCAAGAAATAACATTTATTTGACATTTGAATCACTCTACAAATAAGATAGATCATGACAAGTTTGAATTTCAAACATGTCTCCTAAACTACATAGAATTACAAATAACTTAGTCATTGACTAAAGAAAAGGTAAGAACATTTAGCATTATCATTAATGCTAATCATTCCACAAATAAGATCGATTATGTCAAACTTGAACGATTCTTAATATGGAATCTAAACTATATAGAATTGCAAATAAGACTAAAGGAAAGCAAAATATTCCATTAAACCTTTCAAAAGTTGTAACATTTATATTTTATTATCATAATTAATAATCATGTAAACGTAACTTTAAAGTAAATAAAAGTCTTAAAATACATTAAAAAAAAACATCATAACTTTAGATTATCATCTCTCCAGGTACTTTACGAGCTTGGGTGAAAAATAAATATATCAGAGATGGAATTAAAAATTGAAAAATGCTCTAACAATAATAAATAAATAAATAAATAAATAAATAAATAAATAAATAAATACTTTACCTAAAATTATATATTTGAACAAAAAAAGAAAAAGAAAAAGGAAAATAGGTCGGTGCTTATGGCATCGTTTCACATGTATCAGGCATGACCGTTGGATGAATTGGCTTTAGACCAAACCGAGGATTGCGGAGACATGCAAGAAATACCACATTTGCAACGGACCATTGCTTTTTCCAAAATATAGGTGTTTGGGGACACGTGGCATCCATTCAAACCCCAACCTGCCCTTCCTTTTCTTCATTTATGGAAAACTGTTAGAAAATGAGGTGTTCTAAATCATCACTTCTTCCAGCTACCCTTTAAGTCCCCGAGACCCCACCGTCCATAACTTCTAATCTTTCAAGCCTCAAATTTTAGCAATTAAGAAGGGCTAAACTAAACTATAATCATGTAATTGCACTCCATAATTCATAATTTAACCTTCATTTTCATTATTATTATTATTATTCATCATAATATCTAGCTTAAGAAACGCTACAGATGAAAGAAGCTCAGTGCTTTTCTTTTAGTTTGGCTGCCAGAACCTTGGAGAACTCCAGAAGCTTTGCAGTGTCGGGCAACAGATCTTTCACAGCGTCGTGTGCAGAGAATCTCTGAGCCCATCCGTCCAGCCCTGGCGTCTTCACTGCGTCTATCAATTTCATCCCATTTGATATCTCCGCCACTCTAATCCACCCCAGAAACGACCCGAAAGCGATATCAACAAACCCAACATGGTCTCCGCCGAAGAACGCCTTCCCTCTGCTCAGCGTCCCGAAAGCTTCCTCCAATAACCCTATGGCTTCCACCGCTTGATTCATAAGCCCCTTCTTCGCCTCCCCTTCTGCACCCACACTCGCTTTCATTGGTGTGAAAAACTGAGTCCAAATAACAAACCCATCAATCGAACTTAAATTTGAACCAAAGTCAGTGATTAATTTAAGGGGATTTTGTTACCTTTTCGTCAACGACGGAAGCCCAGAATCGAGCGAGGGCGCGATCGTAAGGGTCGGAGGGAAGGATGGACGGAGCGGAGGACCAGACTTCATCGATATACTCAACGATGATGGAGGATTCGGCGATGGGTTTGCCGGCGTGAATGAGAACAGGGATCTTCTTGTGAACAGGGTTGGATTGGAGAAGAAGCGGGCTTTTGGATCCGAATGTTTCTTGAATGAACTCGTAGTGAACGGATTTGATGTTGAGGGCGATTCGTGGCCTCATCACGAATGGACTAGTCCAGGAACCCACAAGCTTCACGTCCTCATCTTTCGCCATTGAGATGTGGTTTCGTTTTGGGAGATGGGCGTTCAAATTTATAATAGGTGGGCGTGGAGGGGGAGCTACTCTTTACCCACTTTGGTAACACCTTTTTTTTTTTTTGTTCTTTTTTGAAGCTGGGAAATTGCGTGACACAACCAAAAAAGACATGCACCAGCCGGGAATCGAACCCGGGTCTGTACCGTGGCAGGGTACTATTCTACCACTAGACCACTGGTGCTTAATGATCATTGATTATAAATAACTTGTTTAACTCAATTTTTATTTTTAGTGTAAGATGAAATTATCTAAGTTTAGATATTATAAAAATGTGGTGAAATAAGAGTAAAGTAGGGAGAAATTTTGGTTAGTGGGGCATATAGATGCGTTAATAAAGAGGTGGGATCAGGACAAGCAAAATATGCAACCAACATTCGCACTCAAAATGAAGAGCTTTTAGTGACGCAACTACCAAAATACATACCAAATCAATTTGTTTTAGCTTTAAAGATTGAGATGGAAATAGGCTTCTCTTTTCTAGAATTGATTGCGTGGAGCCCAACAACAAGATTGATAATTGAGATGTTAAATCCATTTATAGCATAAATGGGGATATAACATAAACTGGAAGTAAAACCAAAAGGAAGAAACCCAAAAAATGAATGAATTTATAGAAAAGGAAGGAAGCTTCCAGATTAGATTCATCCCACTTCTATTATAGTATTTACAGATTTGAACCAAAACTTGCATCTTCTTCTTCTTCTTCTTCTTCTTCCGATAAATATGAATCATCTCATGTTGCAGCACTGTGGCCTTCTTTGATGCATCAACTTCTCCCACAAGCACACCATCTGTCTAGGAGATTGGTAATGAGAAGTTAAGTAATCTTCAATGCACCCAAACTGGCAAAACCTCAGACTGTGATGGTATAAAACTGGTTTCGTACGGTTGAACTGCTCCACCCACATTCCCATGCTCACATCTTCCATCTTGAACAACTGTTTTATTGTGCATTTCATAAGATCGATCGTGTTTATAGGGAAGGGAAGGGAAGGGAAGGGGAGGAGTTTGAATGAAACTTACCCTTAATCTGTGCTTCTCAAACTCAGATACAATATACTCTGCAATGTCCGATGACAGAATGTAACCCGGCCCATTTGCGTACGTTGGGTAATCTTCTTCTGGCCATTCCTGAACAGATCGAAACAAACATAGCTAAATACGCAATTATGAACCAATTTATAGGCCCCCCATGTGGTTGAGATGATGGTATTTAGAGAATGATGCGAAAAAGAACGACTAACAGGCTAATGAAACAATGGCCACCGGAGGATTGATATATAGATTATAAAGATCCATTCAGCAAGCAACTTTTGGTTGTTCAGGATGGATAGCTCTTAACCGACCGTGAACTTATCGTAATCAAGTGCATACAAAAGCATGTTATGAAATGCAGCAAAAACGGATTAACATAAACAGTCAAAGCCACAAGACATTTACTATGGTCACCAAAGGATGCATTATATAGTAAGTTCAAATCCCTTCAGCTGTAGAAGGTCGATGAAAAACAGGATTACAGAACTATGTCACGAGTCGCATTCTTATGGTCATACCTCGTAAGTCACTGCCCATTTTCCATGACGAAGAGGTTTATGGTGAAAGTTCATGTTTCCAACATAAAGGCTCCCACCATCAGATTGGACTTTGTGAGCTTCATCAATCACTGCATCCACTCTAACAAATGTATCATCGTCACACTTCATGATATAGTTTGCAGCCACCGTGCGAACCTGCAAGATCAGCGTGGAATCATATTTCCAACGACAAAGACTACCCAACTCAAAAGGTTTGTGTCAATTTATCACAACTCACCCCATATTCACATATTGCAATCGTCTTCAGTACAACGAGATCATAGTTATCCATGAAAGGAACTATTACAATATCTCCAAAATACTCGGCCTCTTTCTTCAACTCGATATTTACTTCCTTTCTTCCGTGCTGTAAGAATGTAACATAGAATTTGTTGTCACTATTATGATATAAATGATGGAACGTTTCTGAGAAGCACGCCGTTCCTTACCATTGCCACGAAGAACCTAGCGACAACTATTGAAGATCTGATTAATCTATGTTGCATCCAAGACTTCCTAACAGCCATTCGCTCCGCAAAATGATTACCAGCAGAAAGAACGCCAATGAAAAGCTCCACATTTTTCTTGGGAAGTGAAGGGGCTTTCCATTGTGTCAACATCTCAATATGCTTCTGTGGTGCAAAGCTAGGATGTGTAGCAGGTAAGGAAGCAGCAAAAATGGAGTGCACGTCAATATCGCCATTTACAGACAACCCAGTGGCATCCTCCAGAACAAACCCCTGTCATCGCCATCAATCTAAGCTATCGACGCAGAGTACCAATTTAGATTTATAGAAGAACGAGTACTTACAGTGCGATATGGAAAAGAAGTGACATGCCTTCCATCAACATTGATATGGTAACCTTCCAACCCAGCACTCACAGTTAGAACAAATAGCCTGCCCTCCGCGAAAGGATATGGCCAATCGATCGCCACCTTTTTCGTGCGTCCTATTAGTCTATTTAACCACCATATTACCTTCGATTCTTCGGAATGGCTGTCGTCGTCACGAATCCATTTCTCACATTTTACCTGCCCGTCGACTTCAAGAAATCACAATGGTAAGTTAGGTAACATCTCACTTGAAGAAATTCAGGATTCAATGCATTCTATCAAAACAAAGCTAGTTCAGTTCATACAGAATTCTAATCAATGGACAATACAAAGACCGTGAAACAAAAGTTACCTGTTTCTTCATCTGCCCTGGCTTTCCATCCCTCACATCTCAGCGCTGTGCCCCATTGCATCCTATAACAAGTGTTCTGTTCGATAACAGGCTTGCCACTCCAATCTCCCTTCAACCTTGGATTGAAATGAAGAATTCTTGGTGGGTCTTCACCATCCACCGTCTTCAGCCCTTGCAACTCCATCATAAACTGTGAAACCATCACTGAATCATCCCCTTCTCTCAAGATTGAAATCTTGGGATCATCTTCCAAGTGAGCCCAACGAGGCGTCCCCACCACTGTGATATGCGACCAGAGCGTCAAGCCGCAGGGGAGCTCCAGAATCCGACTCTGTGCCTCAAATTCGGATCCAGAAAGCGTAATCGAATGTGGACAAGTCTCCGACTGATTCTCTGTCTTCGTTTTGGGTTGGAGAACAATTTTTCCGGACTCTAAGTCCCCCCAAAGCTTTTTCCCCACTACCCAAGCATGTTTAACCGCTTTATGAAGCTCCGAGAACTCCCCCTTACTAGCATTACGATCAAATGTGCTTTCGTCGAAGACTAAACCCGAAACTTTCTTGAACTCACGCATTCGCCTCTCGGGTGTCCGATGCGGCGAGCCATGAGAAACCAGAAAGGTATCATCAGAGGGTCGACGAGGGGCGTCTTTATCAGCCATTTCCTCTTCACTTTCAAGCAGAAACGGCCTCGGCAAAGTGTCGCTGGTGAATCCAAATGTTCCATCATCAGGCACCGACCCATATCCGGTTCGATACACCAGCGGTATTTCAAAACTCATGAAAAGCAGATAGAAAAACACCAACCCCATAAGAAATTGAAGCAACCTAATTCGGTTTCGTGATACCATTGTATCCAATTTCCCCCTTTTCATCCTCCCCTTCTAGCCCCCAACGCAATGTAGAACAAAACCACCACCACCCACCAACAAACAGGTCAAGTATAGGGAAAAAAAACAAGAAATCAGACGAAAGAAGAACAAAAAAAACGTAGGGGATTTTATGCAAACAGATTTCCCCCCAGACTTGAACACCTCGTTTCTACAATCAAGAATTCCGTCGAACCCTAACCCTAGTTCCAGTAAATGGAAATGAATTGAAGCTCTCTGGAAAACTGAGCTCGAAAACAACACAGAGACAGAAAAAGAGAGAACAAAAAGGAAAGAAGATGAAAACGACAGCGTGTTAGAGCTCACATGGCTTGATTTTCTGCGTGCTTTGCATTATCAACCTGTCACAAACGTGGTTTAATCCATTCATTACCTTCGTTGTTATTGCATCCGATTACGGGAACGAATTAAAACTAGATTCGAAATTTAAAAAAGAAAAAAGAAAAAAGAAAAAGAGGCTTAAGTGGTGGTGGGAATGAACACCTCATCCCAGCACTGCACTCGGCCCTGGTGATGGTGGTGCCCAACTTTCTTGCTCCTCTCTTAGGACGTGTTTGGTTCTCCCCATTTTCATTTCTTATATTATTAGATTCTCTACCCCTTAAACTTCCCATTAATCTTTTATTCTTTTTATTTTATATTCATACCATCTAAATTTTAGTCATCTTCATTTTTAATTAATATGGTGTATATGCTTTGACGTCATCTTAAGTTAAGCGCGGTCGTCTACTATCACAGCTCACTCAATCATGCCGTCGAGAATAGACCCACGTATCGTTCATAACATCGAGACATCTCGAACATTCATCCTTCCAGGTTCAATCGAGTTATTGGTCCCTCTCGTTCTTGATTACAAGTTATTAGATATTTGATCTAATAGTTGAAATATTAGAACATTAATAAAAATTAAAACATAAATTTAAAAGTGGTTGGGCTTAAAAGGTAAAGTTATGGATATAATTATTATACCATATAGTCGGTTGATGATTAATGTTTTATATTAAGGATTAAATGTCACGAACGGTGGTCTGAGAATTAGAGGATAGGTGGAAGAATTTATAACATCTGAGCACGTCATTTTCTGACAGGTTTCCATAAAGGAAGAAAAGGATGGGGCTGTTGGAGCTTGGATGAATGACACGTGTCACCAACATGCAACCCATTTATAGAATGGACGATCCAAAAATTGTTATAAAAGCACCCACAAAATCGAGGAACAAAATATATGCAACTCCGTTTCTATATATAGAATTAGTTTCAGTTAGATTTATTTTCGAGATACTTTCGAATAAATTTATTAATACCAAAATGGTATAATCTTTATTTAAAAATGGTAAAAAAAATCATAATAAATTAATACCAAAATCATTTTTAGATATTAACTAATTTATTTTTTTAATATACGACCACCAACGATAGCGATGGAGAATATAATCTTGTCTCTAACTCCATTTTATTTAACGGATAAAAGAATGTTTCCCATCCCAGTCTAAATTGATGATTCCCTTTAGTTAATGTAAAAAATCCGTGGCTCACTCTTCACGAACTAGAAAGAAATGAAAGTTGAGGTGCAACAAAACAAAAGGGGAGCGACACGAACTAGAAACTCTTAAAACAAGAAACCTTAGTCCTTGGATACACCATTATTATGATTAATATTATTATTATTTTGTCTTCACCCATTATCCCTTCTGTCTACATAATCACTCACTTCTTGTAATTCCACAATGAATGCTGAGAGTCTGTTCTTATTCATGGCCAATACAACCAATTTTCCAAGCATTGCAAAGTGCGACTCTAGAGGCCGAGAAGCCCACACCCTGGTCGCCGACATGGATGGAACATTGCTCATAGGCCGCAGCTCCTTCCCTTATTTCGCTCTTATGGCCTTCGAACTCGGCGGCCTTTTCAGGCTTCTGGCCTTGCTTCTGGCCTCACCCTTGGTGGGCTTGCTCTATTATTTTGTGTCTGAATCTGCTGGCATTCAGATTATGATATTCGTGACCCTCTGTGGGGCCAAGGTTTCCAGTATTCACTCCGTGGCACGTGCGGTTCTTCCCAAGTTCTACTCCAGCGACCTCCATCCTGACACATGGCGGGTGTTCTCCGCGTGTGGGAAACGCTGCGTTTTGACTGCCAATCCGACGGTTATGGTGGAGCCGTTTCTTAAGGAGTTCTTGGGAGTTGATTTGGTGTTGGGGACAGAGATTGTTGCGACGGAAAGTGGACGGGCGACTGGGTTGGTCGGGCGGAAGGGTGTGTTGGTGGGGACCAAGAAGGCCGACGCTCTTAAGGTTCAATTCGGCGATGTTCCGCCGGAGATTGGACTCGGCGATCGCCTTACCGATGTTCCTTTCATGTCCTTGTGCAAGGTTTTATCATCTCCTCAACTAAGAATCGCCTTATTTTACACGAATTAACCCTCCCTTTTGTTTCATTTTGCAGGAGGCTTACATGGTGCCGCCGACTCCGGCGGTGGAGCCGGTGGCGAGCGATAAATTACCCAAGCCAGTCATCTTCCACGACGGCCGATTTGTTCACAAACCATCTCCCTTTTTAGCCCTTCTAACCATTCTCTGGTTTCCAATCGGCTTTCTTCTCGCTTGCCTGAGAATCGCCGCCGGCTCTCTCCTCCCAATGCCACTCGTCTACTACGCCTTTTTAGCACTCGGCGTACGCGTCACCGTCAAAGGCAACCCACCGCCGTCCCCCAACTCATCCTGCCGAAACTCCGGCGTCCTATTCGTCTGCTCCCACCGTACCCTCCTCGACCCAATTTTCCTTTCCACGGCCCTCCGTCGCCCCATTGCCGCTGTCACCTACTCTGTTTCCCGGCTGTCGGAGTTCATCTCTCCGATAAAAACCGTGAGGCTGACTCGAAACAGAGCCACTGACGCGGCCACCATCAAGAAGCTTCTAAAAGAGGGGGATTTGGCCATTTGTCCAGAGGGGACCACGTGCAGAGAGGCGTATCTGCTGCGATTTTCGGCTCTGTTTGCAGAGCTGACGGACGAGGTAGTACCGGTGGCTATGGTGAACAAAATGAGCATGTTTCATGGGACTACGGCAAGGGGTTGGAAAGGGATGGACCCGTTTTACTTTTTCATGAACCCAAGACCGGCTTATGAGGTCACATTTTTGGAGAAATTGCCGGTGGAATTGAGTCGGGGTTCGGGAAAATCGAGCCATGAGGTTGCTAATTACATTCAGCGGCGGATTGCGGCGGCGCTTTCTTATGAATGCACTGGTTTTACCAGGAAGGATAAGTATCGAGCTCTTGCTGGGAACGATGGGATTGTTGACGAAAATAAAAAGACTTCCATTAAAGCCAATAAGATCATGGGATGCTAAGTTTGAGATTTGTATGCAAACGTTTATACAAGCGTAACAATATTAATTTTCATACCTGAATCAAAACAACATTAATATTGATACATGAATCAACATGATTGATTCATATACCAATACATGAGTCAATAAGTTTCTGACAGATAAGACTAAGTATTTTAATCCAATGAAACTCAGAAAACAAGATGGAAGCCTTTTAATATTCCAACACACCAAATTTAAGAAAAATAAATAAAGAATTCTGTAACGTTCAGATTTTCAAACACATGGGTTCTTTTGTTGACCGAATAGAAACAGCTTTTTCCAGGTCGGTGGGTTGAAGTGGGGCAAATCAAAATCATGTCTTTTGCAGCTCCCTGACACATTCTTCCATCAACATTTACTCCAAAAGAATACAAAGTTCACCACTTTGATTTAAAACTGTTCGTTCTTGAAACACTAAAAAGACAACCTGTTCTGTTAATCACACAACAATGGCTATCAAATCTTGGGATGGATGGAAGGAAGAAACAGAGACAGAGCTACCTAGGAGTTTCAGAATTGCTCTGTTTCAGAAATAGCCAGAAATTAAGTATTTGGACATTTATTGGATTAGTCAAACCATAGAATTATTAGTTTAATCATCATGAACGACAAGACATGATGATCTGGGAGAAATCTGTGCGTTAATTAATTAAAGAGAATTAATGAGTGACAAAAAAGATGAAAAGCCAAAAGCGAAACGTTTACGGAGATACCATTTTTGTTCGTGCCCTTTGGCCATATTTTAATGAGACACAGAACTTCTCTGTACTACGAAATCAAAATGGATCGGCTTCTGCTACAATGGGTTGCTCTTATGATCTCCATTACCACACTCTGTCAAGCTTGCCACCCTGCAGATTTCAAGGGTCTAACCAGTTTCAAGTCTGCGATTTCCCAAGACACTTCCGGCAGGCTTGCCAAGTGGGTCGGCCGGAACTGTTGCGGTTGGGACGGCATCTCTTGCCACAACGCCACTGGCAGAGTCAAGGAGATCAATTTACCAGGCTTCATATCCACCGGTGATATCCCCTTTCAATCTGAGATGATGGGCTATCTTTCTTCTTCAATAACTCTGCTTGATGCTGTTGAGATCATTGATCTTGGAGGGCTGATTGGCCTTGGTGGAACCATTCCTAAATTCATTGGCTTACGCCTCCGCAACCTGAGGAAGCTTTATCTTTATGGCAACAAGCTGAGAGGTCCACTTCCTGACAGCATAGGTAAGCTTATGAAACTTGAAGAACTTGCTGTCCATGATAATAGGCTGTCTGGTTCGCTCCCTGCAAGCCTTGGCAGCCTCATGTCTCTGCATTCCCTGCATCTCGATGGAAATAGGTTTTTGGGTTCGATACCGGATTCGATTACGAACCTAAAGAAGTTGGTTCGGATGGATTTACATAGCAACTCCTTCGTTGGTCGGATTCCTGAGAGAATTGGTGAGTTGCAGATGTTGAATGAGCTTGATCTTTCGAACAATTTCTTGAGCGGGAAAGTTCCCATTTCCTTAACAAAATTGACGGCTCTCTCTGTTTTGTATTTGGATAACAACAATCTGGAGGGGCCATTGTTGTTCCCGCCGGCTCTTGCTTTTCTTAGATTGAATGGTAACCGGCTTAGTGGAACCATCCCTCCAAGTTTCGGGGAGCTTGTCTCTCTCAAACGAGCTTCACTTTCAAACAACAAACTTGAGGGGACACTTCCTTCTTCTTTGGGTCGGTTATCAGCTCTGTCGGAGTTGTATCTCGATCACAACAGATTCTCCGGCGAATTACCGGAATCATTTGGGCAGCTTTCGCAGCTCATTCTCCTGGATCTCTCTCACAATTTCATTAAAGGGCCGTTGCCGGAGTTGTCGTCGCTTCAAAACATTCAAACCATTGATCTATCCTTCAACCGTTTGAGCCTGACCGCGATCCCCCAATGGCTGGCGAAACTGGCATCTCTTTCTAAAATGGGTCTTGCAGGGTGCGGAATCCATGGCGAAATTCCAGAGTTCTTGCGAAGAACTCCAAGTCCGATTCAGGAACTGGATCTTTCCCTGAACTATCTTACTGGGAAAATTCCAGAATGGATTGGAAGCCTCACTGCGCTCTATTCACTAAAGCTATCACAGAACTCACTGGTTTACGAGATTCCAGATTCCATTACGAAATTACAGGACTTACGCGTGCTGGATTTGCATTCGAACAAGTTAACAGGCAACATACGACAGATCTTCAAGATAGAACACGGATTCCCAGATGATTCTTTAACGTACATTGATCTTTCCGACAATAACTTCTCCGGGGAATTTGATCAAGTCGATGTCGGACAACAACCAGCGATTCAGTTTCTGAATTTGTCGCATAACAATCTGAAAGGAAGATTACCCATTTCAATTGGAGGGTTGAAATCAATACGAAGCCTGGATTTGAGCTCCAACAATCTGGGGTTCGACTTGCCAGAGGCTATGGTGAATGCCAACCAATTAGAAACGTTGAAGCTGCAAAGAAACCATTTTACTGGAAAAATTCCAAAAGGGTTTCTGAAATTACGGAAGTTGAAGGAATTGGATCTGTCGAATAATCTGTTAGTGGGAGAAATTCCAGCGGGGAAGCCGCTGAGCGATTTTCCTCGAAGCGCTTACATGGGAAACAGAGGATTGTGTGGAAAGCCATTAAACCCATGTAAGCTTTGATGGAGAAGAAGATGAATTCAAATATCTTAGCTATAAGCAGTGTTAAATTACTGATCTTTTCAAAGAAAAAAACGTCATATTTCATTAAAATTTTGCTTTTTTAGTGAACTCTTTTGTATGAATACAATGGCGATGCACTTTACAGAATCTCTTGACTCATCCCCAACTGCTGGTAATTTACGTAATCAATTCCATTTAGTCTAATACAGCATAAGATCTCCTCTGGCAATTCTTCAGGTTTGTTCCCCTGTTTCAGAACCCAAAACAGAGTAAGAAAAACAGGACAGACCGCTAAAAAAAAAAAGACACAAAAACATCGTTGCAAGAAACATGCCTGAATTGTGAGGCCGACATCTAAAATGCAGCACTTCAGTCTGTCAAGGAATGCTTCAAAGCCTTTCCTTGAAATGTAACTAAATCTGTGCATGTCTAAGTCAATTTCCAAGTAGTTTTCTCCCTGTAATAATCCATGAATCATTCAGTAACTAATATGCAATTTCATTCGAAAGTAGTCTGTAATGCAATGGAAAACATTACTTACCAAGTAAAATTCATGTTGAGGACGCGAGAGGACAGGCTTTTCGTTGTAAGCCTGCATGAGCTTCCGCTCCGCAGCGCTCATCGGAAGCTCCTCGACGTTCGCAACTCGACCCAAAATTTTCAACCTTTCTCTAAATGGAACTACTGTGTCTACTGGAAAACCCTTCACCCTTTCAACTTCATCCTCAATCAGCTTCTGTTTTTGGAGCCAGTAGACACAGTTATTAAAAGATTTCAAATGAATGAAAATTTTCAAATGCTGAATCTTACCCTGATGCTTTCTTGAAAGTGAGATGTAAGTTCTTTAGCAAATGCATCGGATAGCTTGAAGTACAAGACTATACTCATCCCTTCTCCATCGGTTTCGCCTTGAAAAATCGCGGCAGGATACAATGGAATCTGCAGAATTCAATAACATGAAGCAGCTATGACAGAGCAGATACATTTATCATAGGACAAGCAAGGGATGAGTTTACCTGAACATTAACAACAAGGATAGGTGGGAGTTTTCCAGTGTAATTGGCTGCAGGCAGCTCGACGAATCGAGCGATATGATCCACTTTTCGATGCGACAAGAATACGTCGACTCCAAAGGGTTGGTAAGCAGCATGACTAGGAGCAAATTCCTTCTTCTTGTCCCTACAAATTTATAGGATTAATATCATTGATGCAATGATGAACTCGTAGAAAGAGTTGTTTGCTCGTTTACTTTGCATAGTTTAGTCCCCGAACTTTGAAACTATCTGGCTCAATATGTGACCAACAATCTAGCATTTTCTTGTCAGCTGGGACAAAAGGCACTTGAGAACCTGCTATAGGTCTTTGGAGAAGCGATTTCGACGAAACTGAAAGAAACGAAATCGATCAAAATGGATCAAGATCAGTAAGACAGACCATAAAAGATGAACACTCACATAAAGCAGCATTGGGATTTCCTTCTTTCCACTTGAAAGACAATTTCAAGGCGGCCTTTTTGAGCCCACTTGGAGGACTTGAACTTAGAGATTTTCTCTTGTCAACAGAGTTAATTGTTGATGCAAGACAAGGCAAGCAATTGGTAGGCAGAATCCCACAGTCATCCAATATTCCATCCCCTTTGGCAGAACTTTCACCAGCCGTCGAGGAGATATCGTCGACGAATACCGGTTCGTTTGCTTCGCTAGAGTGTCCATGGCCCTTGAGTTGATGTTCTGCATCATCTGGATTCATTGCAACTTCACTTCCAGAGCTCCTCACAGAATGAACTCTTGCTGAATTTCCTGGCCTGTGAATCTGATTCACATTATGATCTCCATGATTAGCATCCCCGGAAGACGAAATACTCGATGTCGACACGCCTTCGAAGCTATTAATCGACTGTATGTCTGCAGGAAGTCACAAGATTGACAATTACATATTGAATAACAAACAGTTGGAGAGTAAGAAAAGGAGTTATACCATCAGGAATGCTCTGGTAGTCTTCATCACAATCGGATTCAAATCTTGGAAATGTATCAAACCAGGCCTCATCAGAACTTCCTGTTCATGCCACAATTATAGAGAACCTGTGAATGTTTGATTAATCCACCACACCTCAATGGTGTGAAAGTTATCTTATTTATAATCAAATAAATTACAAGGATATGGAAATAGTAATAAATGGAAATAACAATAAATGGAAAGATACCTATGATAATAAAGCAAATATTAGATATTTGCTTTATAATAAAATATCAAATATAATATATATGGTAAACTATAATTTATTACTAAATATCCTTAACACCCCACCGCAAGCTAAGCGTCGGATTTAAACGAACGTGAAGCTTGAATCTGAAAAATTCAAAGAGGTTGAGAAACACTTTTCTTGAAGATGCTAACAACCCGGTTCAGAGGAGGCGTAGAGAAACACTTTCTTGGCCATCGAAAATTGCAGAGGAATCGCCGCTCAGCGGCAATGCTGCCTTGGCTTCGGCGAGAATATGTCTAACCCATGAAGAGGGATTGTCGCTTAGCGACGATGCTGCCTTGGCTCTGGTGAGAATATTTCTAACCCCAAGAAGTAGAAGGGGAAACCTAGAGCAAGGGACAAAGACAATGTTGAAGCCGGAAGAGTCGCCACATTGGGCGAAGGAGCCAATTTTGGCGAGAAGGACAGTCGGAAGAGTCGCCTCATCGGGCGAAGAAGCCAATTTTGGCAGGAAGGGTGGCGGCAACTTGGTTGGCGAATAGGCCAGTGCGGCACCCAGATTCCGAAGGTAAATCTCTGCAAAAGGTTGATAGGTTTAGGTTAGGGTTTATGTGAAGGATGAAGGTTGATTGGGAAGAAAATGAGAGAGACGATATTGGCCAAGGGAAAAACCAATTTGGTTGGAAAAGGTGAGGTTGTATGTACAGAGTATGACGAAAAGTGATTTGGAGGTCAATAGGGTGGAGCCGAAGAGTAATCAATCGGCTCCGACTACGGCAGCCATGAAGACTGCCCCTGCGGTGTCAAAACCAGCAGGGGTGGTGGAGAAGAAGATTAGAGGATTCAAAAGCCATTGAAAAGAAAGGATCAGGGTTGTTAAACCGAAAGGGCTCTGATACCATGTGAATGTTTGATTAATCCACCACACCTCAATGGTGTGAAAGTTATCTTATTTATAATCAAATAAATTACAAGGATATGGAAATAGTAATAAATGGAAATAACAATAAATGGAAAGATACCTATGATAATAAAGCAAATATTAGATATTTGCTTTATAATAAAATATCAAATATAATATATATGGTAAACTATAATTTATTACTAAATATCCTTAACAGAACCCAAGTCAACCCCAGTCTACTTATAATTCTTTTTCTTAAAAAAAAAATAAAGAAGGGGGGAATCTTCTAGGCTCGTTCTGGAAGAATTAAGATCTGGGTATCTGCAGATGATTTGCAGGAACTTTGAACATGACGCAGCATCAAAGAATACGTACATTTCACACCAACACATCAAAAAATCATTCAAAACCAAACATTTCTGATATTAAAAGAAAACCCCATTAAAAGAAACTCAACCCAACACCCAAAACAATCAAATTATGTTCCACCACAAACAAACAAATAAACCCAGACCCCATTTTTCTTTCTTCCCTAAAGAAAAAAAAAAGAACACGGAAAGAGAGAGAAAAAAAGGAACCTTGAAAAGTGGGATTGGAAAATGAGCAGCGGTCAATCGGGTCGGAGAGGTGCGATCCATCGGAAAGGCCAGAAAACGCGGTGGTTTTGGAAGCTTTCCTCCTCCTCCGGCGGTTCTTCCTCTTAAAAGGCTTCTTAAATTTGCTTCCGGTGCAGCCCTCCGGCTTGGACACGCAAGCACCCATGTCGGCAAACAAGAAGAAGAAGAAGAAGATGGAGAATCACGTAGCAGAAAACAACATCCCAGACACCAGACACCTCCTCTTAACAGAGAAGCAACAACAACAACAACACTGAATTTTCTTGGTTGCAGAGGGGGAGAAGTTAAAGCTACCGTTTGTTTGTTAAAATCTCAATTCCCTTCTCTCTCTACCTCTCTCTCTCTCTAGACTGTAATGAAAAATTGGATCTTTTTATTTTAATTTAATGTGTTTATATATAAGGAATGTGGAACAGAGGATTGGACAGAAACAGAGCAGAAAGAGGGAAAAAAGAGATGACAGCGTGAGAACGCATCTATCTAATCTAAACTAATCTATTATATTAATTTATTAATCTATTAATCTAATGGAACACAAAACCCATAAGGGACCCACACAGATTACACGTGGCATTAATTGATTTCCGCAAACGTGTGGGAGTGGACATCTTCAAACCCTAAATGCGGCTGCCTGCCACAACTAACCCCACATATCGTATGTCATAAAGTCTTCCCTTTTACACCCATATTATTGACTTTTACTGTTTTCTTCTTTAAAAAATTTAATACAAATGTTGTGTGTATTTCAACCTTCTCCAGGTTCGATAAATGCACTTGTTGATAGATATTTCTTCAATGTCTCGTGGCACTTATTGTTTTCGACGTGGTGTCAATTCGTTCATATGAAGCAAGCACGTGACAGTTCGTCCTATTTTGATATTCACGATTAGAAAACACTAAATTTTCTCCTGTTTGAACTATGAACACACAAGGTCAATACATGTGTGTCGGGTGTGCTACAGATCTTGTTTTACCAAATTTAATTATTGACAATCTAATTATTTCTATTTTTTAATTATTTTGTTTATAACAATATTTTATAAATACGCGTCTAAACCAGAATATTTTAAAATGGAAGAACCAACTAATTATTTTAAATGTTTTTATATTCTTAAAAATGAGTAATTATTAGGTTGAAATACAAATAATTTATTATTAAAAAAAGGATTATAATTTCAACCTCGTCAACTTCCAATAAAACTGGCCAAGATGAGGTTTTCTACTTTTATTTATTTATTTATTTATAATTATTTAAAATATTACCATAATTTTGTTTTGAAGAAAAAGGCAGAAAAATGAGAAAAAAACAAAATTATGTTCCTTTTGACATTTTATGGCCATTTTTATCCATGTATTTTTTGAATATGTGATTCTTTTATATTATAATTATTCCCCTTTCACGTGATTTGACTTTTGAAATTTCAACAAAAATAAAAATTAATTTTTTTAATTAACCCCGAATATTAGTGAAAATCATTGCTTATAAACTCATAACCCAACCGACAAATATAAATATTTTTCAAATTTTAACCTAAGGTAGATTTAAATATTTACTCCCCGTAAAGTAAAATAAAATAAAATAAAATAAAATATGTGAATTTAGAAAATGTGGAAGAAGGAAAACGACGGTGTGAATTATTTGTCACTGAAAGAGAGGGAAAGTGGGGCATTACATTTCCTTTTTTTCAGACTTTTTAATTATTATTATTATTACTCTTCACTTTTACCATCACGCCCCCTCACGCGCTTATTTCATTTTAACTTTTTTAATGCAAATATTACTATAAACTAAAAACATTATTAACCAAAATTTTACAACTTTAAATTATTTTTTAAGTAATTAAGCATTTTAAGATTAAATTTTCTATTTTTACTTCACTAGTCGAACATTTTGACAAAAAAAAAAAAGGAAAATTACTAAACTAAATTTCCACTGTAAATTCAAAATTCAATTCTATAATGTATAAGCTATTAAAGTTCAACAAAAAAAAAAAAAAAATAGACATTTAAATTTCATGACAATATTATATAATTTTTTTTTTCTTACTAAAACTGATATTAATGCAAGATTCAGGGAGGAGAAACCATATAATAATAATTTCAACCATATAAATACACCAAACAAATAAAGTAATGTTTTAAAAATAAGCATGGTCACGAAATTCTAATAAACAACTATTGAAAAATTATTATAATTAAAACATCATTCTAAACCAGCTTTTAAGTCAATTATACGGTAGGTAGGTAGGTATAGTAGGTTGGGATTCACCAATTTGTGACCTACCTTGCTACAAATAAGATATTTTTCAATGGAGATACCATAGTCACTATATATATATATATATATATATATATATATATATATAATTAAAAATAATTTTGTAATTAATATATATTTGAAAATAAAATTGAGTAATACATATGATAATTTTGAGATGCACGTAAGCTAACAGCTAGAGGTAGCCGGCAATAGAATGAATAAATGGGAAAACTAAGGCATCCATGGGCCAACTTCCTTTGCCCTTTAAATGTAGCCACGTTTCTTTCTTCAATAATTGAACCCATGTACTGTATTTTATACTCTTGCAATAAATTTATTTATTTATTTATTTATTAAAATATAAGTTTAGTCTTTCATTTTTATATTTATGCCTATTTTCTCTTTAAATTTTAAAAGCTATGTGTCTAATACTTCTTTATCAGGATGAAATATGATTTTTTTTATTTTATTTTAAATCGGTTAGATTTAATATTTTATAAAATTTTGAGTTTGTTAATAAACACCCTTTGAAAATTCAAAATAATAATAATAATAATAATAATAATAAACTTAATTGATATATTTAAATGAATAACCTTTAAATATTCAAATTTGTTTTTAAAAGTTTCAATAATACAATTAAATTTAAAAAATTTAAAAAGTTTCATTTTTTTTTTAGTTTAAAGTTTATTTTTTAAATAAAATACTTAGAATTTCTATCCAATACTAAATATAAAATATAAAATTTAAAGATATTTTTATTAATTTAACGGAGTTAACCACCTCCAAATTGGATTGGGAGCTTTTAAATGAACAATAATGGAATGAAAAGGGTAGTAGTAGGGAATTGATGGGGTAGTTGGCTTTGCCACTTGAGCAAAGATGGGCCTACTCTCCTAATAAAAACAATGCCTTAAAATGATTTACTTCCTTTTGTTTCCCTTTTGTCTCTTTAAGATCAGAAAAGGCCAATCAAAAAATTAAAAAAAAATTAAGGGTGTTGATTATTTGATGAACCCAAATGTCCTAAAGTCAACATCCAATTTTGATGATGCGAACAAGTTAAAGTGTTTCTAAACAATTTACCAATGGTTGGTGAATGGATTGTTGATCATCTTTGTATAAGTCCAAACGGAGAAACAAAATTGTGGCACTTAATTAACTTGTCAAGATTTTTAAAACGCGTCTACTATGTAGAGGTTCTAGCCCTATTTCAATTAATGTCTCGCACAATCCAGTGACTGACTCTAATACCAATCAACCCAAAGAAAATAATATTTGTCAGCAGTAGGCTTGACTTTTACAAATGAAATTCGAGCTAGACATCGGTTAAGAGGAGAACAAAGTATTCCTTATAAGGGTGTGTAACCCTCTTACTAGTAGACACATTTTAAAATCTCGTGGACAAATTATAGCATAGATAGAGTTGAATACAAAAAAGTAGAAGGCATAAGATTTATATGTTCTTCAATAATTTTATGCAACTTGTTGTAAGTTGGGTCCAGGAGAAGCCTCAAGGTGACCAAGGGTTGGCACAAGTACAACAACAACCCATATAGAAATAGGAACAGTAGTTTCAATGGTGTTAGTTTCTGTGTCAACGTCCTGATATAATAATTTAGTAACGTTCTCTAAGGAAAGAAATGTATACCTGAGAGCCAAGAAAGGAATCCGTGTCTGCTGCAACCATCCTCATAGACTCACTTGCTTTTACCTTGTTCGTTGGATGACAGCCAGGCGGCTGAACCACCGCTCCACCTCTAAATCAACTTTGTCCCCATCTCCTGACGTCTAAATCAACTGCTTAGAATATACAAAAGTTGCCCACCTCAGACAAAAAAGAAAAAGAAAAAAAATGTTCATCTTTTCACCTCTATATCCAAGGCCGACCTGTTCTTGATGAGTTGTCGACGGCCAGCCCAAAGAATTGAAGGGGATGGGCTCTTGTGGTTGTTCACAACATGGACCCCAACTTGCCAGTCGTGCGAAATTGGCTTCTAGCGGGCTACTTCTTGACAATGACAACGAGATCCAGAATATACAAAAGCTACCAAACAAAATTCTGTTCAGGAGGTACGGTTTAGAGTGCCTAACTAAGCCAATGATTGGATATAACCATAGAAAAGAGAATGGACACAACAAAGATTACTACTTTTATGGCTAAATGGTTTCAAGTTAGAACCCATGATACACCAAAAAGTATTCTGTCCAAAAATTGGGATCTGACGAATGAATGATGAACACAGAGAGACCATCTTGAGGGATATGTTAAGGATCCTACACTGGAAAGATTGAGTTACTTTTCTTGTTAGTATTGATTGGTTGTAAGATCAAACTCCCTGGCCATTTAAGGATTAAAATGCAGCTATTAACATCAAAAGCTTATTCAACTCATTCTTTCCTCTTTGAATCTTAGTTTTGGAAAATCTTTCACCTGTTTAACATAAACTGTGAAGCAACAATCACACCAACCTAAACAACTGTGAGTTTATTATTTGGTTGGTTCGGTATTAAGAATGTGTTTGACCTCTTTGGATGATAAATTCATCCATCGAATACTTTTAGAAAAACAAAACAATAAGGTTCTTGAACTTTCCATCACATAATCTCCAGACTTCACGTTTTGGTTGGAGGAAACATCAATGTTTTGTGTCAATATTATAAAATAGAGATTTTAGAAGCCTTTCATCCATGGCAGATATGAATATAGTTCCATAAAGGAAACATGTCCATAAGTATCAAACATATTAACCAGAGTCTATACACAAAGACATGTTAGGATTAAGCCTAGAGTAAATAATGCCATATGAATACATGAAGAAATTCATTATCCTAACAATGTAGTTCTTTAACTTGTGAAAATTGTTCAAATTATCAGATTTCCACTGAGAGCTCATCTCTTTCAGATAAAACAGGAAGCAATCTGCCCTTAATTTCCAATGAGCAATTCATCTCAGAAGTGCATTTCTGGGTTTAAACACACAAATAACAAAGCTCTTGCTCTGGGATTCATAAACTAAATGACATTGCTTCTGTTTAAGTTCATGATTCTCCAGGACATACCATGAACTGCATAAATAGATATCTGATGGAATAGATTAGCTTAGAGCATCCCCATCCCCTGGCATGATGTTTTCAAATTCCTCCACTCACTTACCTTCAAAACAAAATAATCGTTCTACCCTTTCCCTTGCCCTGTTTCCCAAACATCAGGTCTGTGCATTTGCTTAATTCTACTTTGATTAGCAACAGCTTCTGCCCAACGTATATGGATAAGCGTCGTGGATTTACAGAAAAGGGATTATGATGTATCGATTTTCGTACCAAACAATCTGGACATATCTTTCCCCTATGAACTTTCGCACCAAATAAATGGGGAGATTTAAGTGAAATAGACTAAATGGGACGATTAACGAATACAAACCTCGTAAGAATATATGAATCCTTCTCTGGATTGAACTCATCTGTACCTATTGCTTTCTTTTTTTTAATAAAGTTGAATACGTTAAGTGAATATCGAATTGACATATGATATAATTGTTCAAATTATATAAATATTAAGTAAGTTTATATTTTTTAATAAAAAATTATATTAAAAAATAAAAAGTGTCCCTATAAAACTAAAAAAAAAAAAAATATTTGAAAATTTATATCTATATATTTACGAAAGAGAATAATTTCTCTATTTTAAAAAAAATATATATTTAATTTATATACATCTATCT